TGTTTTTCTTTTTGATGTAATAATTAGTGTTCCATCTAAGAACTTTAATTGTTGTAAATATTCTGAAAATAAATTCATGAACTCTTGATATTTTGTGAATGTGTTCTTTGTAATTGCATTATTATATGGGTTTTTTGAATATAAACGTCTGCTATTTAATATATCAAATGCATTGTTCATCATTTTACAGAATTGTGCTGTTGGACCACATCCTTTAAATTCAGGATCCTCATTACTTAGGTATGTTAATGCATCTCCCACACTATCAGATAAAACCTGTGCTGCAAGCCTTACATTCATTTTTTCATTATGATAAAAAATATGCCTTGCTGTTAATTTTGTAGCTGCTCGTAATCCTTCTAGTTTTTCTTTTTCATATAATTTTACTATATAGTCCCATTTTATTAAATCACCATTTCCATCAATAATTATTTTTTTGTCTCCAAAAGCATTTCTCACCAACTTAATCATGTGAGCGGCGTCATAGAATGTAAATATTTTTTCATTTGTTGCTGGATTAAGGATAAATGGAGAGTCATCATTGAAATTTGCACCTAATACTGTACACATACTTGTATTTACAGTAGCTCCATCAAAAGTTATTGAACACAGATGAGCTCCAGTGTCTGTTATCAATTCAATTGCTTTACTTAAAAGATTACTTCGTTCGGCTCCTGTCAGACCATCAATCAAAAAATAACCTATTGGTAACTTCCAATAATCATTCATTCCAACTAACATAAATACCAATGCATTTTTTGCTATTGGTATATCATCTGCGTCATAAATTGCTCCTGTACCCATATTGATATGACCATAAATATTTTGTTGTGGATCGATTTCAATTTGTCGTTTAACACACATCTCATCGACTACTAAATTACAAAACAAAGATTTGTTTGTAGCTTTAAGTTTAATGGTTTCAAATGCCTCAGAGGTGAAACCTGGCTTTCCATCTACAACTGTATACCAGCGCCTTAAAGTGCGTGGATGAGGTAAAATGTTCCCAAATTCTTTCCGTACATATAAATATGCCCTAGGAGAATAAAACTGTAAAGTTACAGCAAATTCACGCAGTTCTTTGCAGAATGGTTGTTTTTTTCCAGCCAACGAGTCTTTTACTAATTTAGAAAGGACGTCAGATCTCATCGCCTAATAAAAATTACTTATTTAATATTTAGAAAAATGTATTTATTTAAACAATATTCACAATATATTCAACAATATAACACATTTACCCATGTAGACAATGTATTAAACACCAATATTATTTATGTTAATTAATTGGTATAATATCCATCAGTCAGTTCGATACTGAGTTAGCACAGCCTCCACTTATGTGCGAATAAGTATGTACGAGTCATATGTAGAAAATAAACATAAAAACATTTAATAATAAAATAAACATATATATAACACATATAAATTTCAAGTGTCCATGATTATTTTTTTTAGTACGACACCAAAAAACACACATATATTCATCGCTTGGCACAAAATCTAAAACAAATAAAATAAACATGAAACATTTTAAGAATATAATAAAAAAATTACCTCCAAGTCTACAGCTGCAACATCTGATATCATACACTTTTCTTTAAGTTGATTAATTATATCGGATAGATTTTTGCATTTTTTTTGTAGCCTCACATTTTTTTGGTGTAATAACTTATTTTTACGACGAAGATTAAAAATTGAATTTTTAACTACTGCCAAATTACGTTTCCTTCTCTTGGGTGTTATAAAGTCATCTTCGTCCAAATCCCCAACTCTTGAAGAAGAGTGGAACTTTCTTTTTATCATGAATCTTGAAAAAATAATTTATTAATAACTTAGTTGTACAATAATATATAGATTATAGGTACATGATACACATACTCTTCAGAATGAGGTGTAGTATGTGAACATATTGGTTCCTGCGACAATACATGTATTCCATCAATACTAAAAAATATATTAAAGAATTAATTCTTATAAAGCAGTCTTTAAATGTACATACTTTTCAGAGTGAGACAATGTAGGTGGTGTTTGTGACAGTACATGTATTCCATCAATACTAAAAAATATTTTAAAGAATTAATTCTTATAACTCTATTAAATTTCAATAAATTATTATAAAGCAGTCTTTAAATGTACATACTTTTCAGAAAGAGACAAAGTAGGTGGTGTCTGCGATAATACATGTATTTCTTCAACACTAAAAGTATATAAGAATAAATTCTTATTACTCAACACAATTATTAATGATAAGTTAATAGAAAAAAATATACTTTTGTGAAACAGACGCAGTCAAACTAAAATCTTCAGGCGTTAATTCATCTGGCAGTATTGCAGCATTATTCAATGTTTCTCTTTCTTCATGACTACAATTAATATAAAAATATAACATGATTACTTTGTTTAGGAGCATATCGTTAAGACAATTACCATACTGGTAGTGCATCAAATTTTAATATTTTTCTCTCATTGCTAAATACATAGCTCATTGGAGAAAAATGTAGGCTGCATATTTGATGCCAATCTTTTATTTGCATTTTTAAATTTAAATTATTTATCCATACTTCACGTTTTTCAGGATCTTTTGGAAACCTGAGTGGATTTAAAATGGTTATGATACTTTATTTTAAAAATGAACATTTCTTTTCCACTTACCGGTGAAAACTTAGATTTGGATTTTTAGTCGAGTTGGAGTGGCAAATTACGCATCGATGAACCATTTTTTTTTTATTCTTATGTATGACTAAATAATTAATTTTCGTAAAATCACAAGAAAAAATAAAAGTTTAAAAATTAAAATAATTAAATTTACATTAATATTTAATAATAATATAATCCAGTGATAAGCAGATATCTCTTATCCATAGATAATATTTAAAGATGTTTGTAACATAACCTTGAAAAAGGCACGTTATCGTCTGTCTCTCTTGTAGCTCTCTCTCTTCCCCAAAAAAGACCGCGGCACGCTGTGGAGTGAGTATAGGCATGTCCTATCCATTCTTTTATTATCTATGGTTACCATCTCACAAAAAGTTCCACGTCCTTTTTTTCTTAGTTCTTTTTCTTTTGGCATTTTCTAACCTGTCAGTCTATTTAATCTTGCAGTACCTAAAGGTAAAATACCCTCCTTATGTAAATAAACTAATAAAGGTATAGAAGTGAACCAATTATCAAAAAAAATTTTATAATTACAATGCCTTGGTATGAAATAACTCATTCTAATAACTACATTACTACTAGCAGATAAATTTGGGCATGATTCAGGTACCACATTACTTTGAGCCCCAGCAAAAATATCAAAGTCATAACAGAAACCTGATTTACCACTCAAAACAAAAACTTTGTAACCCCATTTATGGGGCTTTTTTGGATTATATTGTTTGAGTGATGTTCTACTCTTGGTAGGGATTATGTGTTCGTCTACTGCTAAATGTTCTTCCTTAGGTATACTTCTTATAATATTTTGAACTTGAGAACATAAAGGCCTGACTTTGAATAATTTATCATAATTATAATCACTTCTTGCTGGTAATTGACTATTATCGTTGAAATGAATAAAGCGTTTAATTTCTTCAAATCTATTTACAGACATTACATTATATATTGAAGGAATGCCCAAATTTCCCCAATAGTGACGTACAGTTGGGAGCTTAACAACTGACATTTTTAAGCATAAACCAATAAATTGTTCTATTTCTTTTACACAGATCATTGGTAATTTATTAGGACTAATTTGAGATGCATATAGATTAGTTTGATCAGTAATATATTTTATAAGTGTTGGTGGATATAAAAAACTAAAAAACTGATATGGATCTGTAAGGCACATAATATTTTCTGGCAGATTTATATCACCAGTAATCATTGTTGATTCTGGAGATGTTATAAGATGTTCCTCTACCCAAACTGGTTTTGTTTCTTTTTTTTTTTAATGATCTCTTGGACATTAATCTATCATACCTTATGGAAAGAGGTATATCATCTTCATCTTCAGAGTTAATTTCTTCATCAGATGCAGGAATAACTAAATAATTTTCATTAGGATCAATAAAATCTTCATCAGTGTCAGAAACAAAACATTTGTCTTGTTGAGATATAGGTGTAAATAAATCTTCATCATCAGACCATTCAGAGTCTTAACTGCTATCAGGTATATTTTGCACACTTGAATAAAATGAAGTCGGACTAATTTTCACCTATAATGGAAAAATTAACTGTATGAATATTTCGAATATTAGGTATAACATAATTTATAAAGCACACAAAAGTGAAATCATAAGTGCATGATGTCCCAAATTTGGCACATACACAAATTTGATCGTATCTAAACAAATATTTGATGTATAAATGTGTACTTACCATGATTGGATAGAGCGTAAAATTTTGAATGAGATCAGGTTTTTTTGAACGAAATTCGTACGTTTAAAAATGACTTACCATTGTTTGAAATCAACAACACAGCTGATAATATGATAATTATTATATCCATAATATTATTCGTAATAGCCAGCACAATTTTAATCCTAGAGGGCAGCACCTTACATAGTTTTTGTATGCCTTTTCGTGCCGAATCTGGCCATGCATGCAGTTTTGGAATATTTCAATTATTTTAGACACAAATAATAAAAAACCAGTATGTGCCACATATGGTACAATATGCAGTAAGGGGTTTTAATATATTATACTTCTTATTTTTTTCAAACGGTTAATTACTTGTATATGATAAGATATAAATGTTTTTTTTTACCTTCTGTTTTCCATCGTAGGTCTTAAAAACTGTAAAATATTTGCATAAATATAAGGTTTTTTATTTTTTGCAGCCTGTCCAGATTTTTGTATACACTTCTTTTGGTAGGTATCTCGTATGTTCTTCCATTTCAATTTAAGCTCCTTTACTAATGAAAAAAAAACAATTTTTTGTGGTAAAAATTATTTACAATAAATACAACAGAATACTTTCATTGAAATAATCTGAAATATTAAATTTTCAACTTTTTGGCACAGCGAAAAAATTTTTTGGGGCAGTTTGAAATTTTATTTTTAAATTTGTACATGCTTTTGCACGATATTCATATAAATTTAACAAACTAAATCTAAACTTTTTTACAATCATTTAATAGTCTAAAATGTATATTATCATTTATACCAAATTTGTATTGGTATTTATATCGATTTATTAAAAAATAAAAATAATTAAGTGTATTATTCAGTATTTTCAATGCATTTTTGGAATTTTTTTTAGGGCATTAAAATCCCAGCTTTAATAATGTTTATGATAATTGATCAAATACAAGTCATGGGGGCAACTGGCCCTAATCCCCTCCTTGCGGACGCCCTTGTGTGACATTTATTAATTTTGGTAACTTAAAAAAAACTAAATCTATTTTGTCAAAAACTGGTTTTTTTGTTTGTTTTTACTGACACTTTAAAAAACTTCTGTGAATTTTCGAATTTAAAAAAAACCAGATTCACTTTCCCATCAGAAAAGATGCTGAAGTGGTAAATCGAAGCATTATTCGACTACTTATCGTGTAAAAAATCACACAATATATTTGCTTACTCAAAATAAAAAAATTTACTTTAAAACCGAAAATTGTCGAATCCAGCCCTATAATATTATAACTTTACTTTATCATTGTAATTTTTACCATATTCTGCAGTATTGTTTCTTATAATATTTTTATTTGTTGGAAAAAATATAAAAGGATGTTATAAGGAATAATCTATTATATGATTTGAAATTTGGTAACAGATACTTAGCAACTGGACAACACTTCTCTGCATTACATTTTGAATTTTTGGTTGGCGTGTCAACTATAGCCATGATAGTCCGAAAAACTTGCAAAGTTTTATGGAAAATTTTACAACCGATTGAAATGGCAGAACCCACTACAAATGACTGGATCAATATGGCTAAAGGTTACTTTGAAAAGACGCAGTTCCCGAATACTGTTGGTACGGTAAGTTATTTTGTACACTTTTTAGTTTTAGTATAATTTTTAATATAGAAAAACAATTTAAATGTAAAACGGTCAAATTGAAAGTATTATTTTGTTTTTTTTTAATTAAAATAGTTTACGTTATTAAAATTTTACAAACATTCGAATATTATTTTATATCTACATTACCTATATATTGAAAGGAGCTATAAAACAATTAAGTAATAATCGAAAGATCGATTTTATATAATAGCTCGTTATATTTTTTACAGGTAGATGGAAAACATATACGGATTGAGTGCCCAAAAAGTAGTGGTTCGTTATACTATAATTACAAACCCTTTTTTCTCTGATTCTAATGGCTATTTGTGACTCCAATTATTGCTTCCGAATCATCGATGCAGGGTCATATGGTAAAGAAAGTGATTGCAATGTGTTTAAGACATTAACGTTTGGTAAAAAACTTTATGGCGATAAATTAAACTTTCCATCTGTACAATGTCTACTGAACGATGAACTTGGTTCACCACAACCATTTGTTCTCGTGGCCGATGAAGCTTTTGCTCTTCACAAGAACCTATTACGCCCGTTCCCAGGTAGAACCTTAAACAACAAAAGGAGAGTTTTTAATTACCGTTTATCGAGGGCCATACAATACATCGATTGTACCTTTGGCATCATGTCTAAAAAATGGCGAGTTTTTCAAACAAATATTTTGGTTGAGGCAGATGCTGCAGTTATAATAACAAAAGCTTGTTGTGTGCTACACAATTTTGTACGTCGCCGTGATGGCTTTAGTGTTGAAGATACCATGAGTAGTTCCTGCATGGCGAGTGTTCAAAGAAGAGAAGTAGGGAACATTCAAAAAAATGCCAAAGACGTCAGAGAGTATTTTGTAGAGTACGTCAATAACTCGAACCATGCACTTGACTGGCAAAATACAATAATTGGCAGATAATATATAATTTCACAAAATGTACTTATCATTAATTTAATATCTATAAAGTATATTATAATGATTAAAAATATTTATTACGTATAGAGGTACCTCTCGTACCTGTGTTGAATAATTAATAATCACTACCCTAGTATATGTGTCAATTAATACTTTTTTTATTTTACTAAAATAATTATTACTTCATATTCGAATAACTAATAAAAATAAATTATTTATTACATACTTTTTTCTGTTTTTTTTTTTATCGTCCATTTCGTCGAAATGTACTGTACAAGCTCGAGCCACGTTGGTCCATCCTACATGGAGAGCCTGGAGATTGTGATGACTACTTTCTTCTATATTTCAAATACATATATTATAATATGGTATTGAATAAATAAAAAAAATATTTTAGTCGTTTAATATGTAAAATTATACAATGTAGGTACCTACGTTTATTCCAGATACACTCATTAGTTTGTATCACTGCTATAAACTCTTCAATGTCAAACATGTTGAGAAAACGTTGAAATTATATATGAATGAAATTATAGTATCTACTCACTTCAAGAATAATTTCGTAAATGACAAATTTTAAAAACCGCCAGGGAATTATTATTATTTTTTTCTTAAACAACATGTTTAAATGCGAACAGTGTCCGTCGGTTTGCACACTTAAAGATAATTTGATTGTTCACCAAAAGAAACATGTAGGTGTACGTTTTCCGTGCACTTCATGCCCATCGACATTCTCTTACAAAATCAGTCTCACCAAACATTTGAAAAATGTTCATGGTATCGTACCAGCTCTTCGCCAACCATATGCGCAGCTCGACCAACCGGCTGCATCGATCGATGCTCAATCAGTACGACAGAGTGTTATACAGTTCGCACCTCGTATTACCCGGCCTACTCCTCAGTGACATATTCAGATTGCCCTTCAAATATTTGTCCCTGATGTCCCAGCTGGTGGCTCGAACATGATGTCAGAGGACGAGATTTGCATGGCAGCAATGGACGAATTTGAAAATCAAGAAGTTCAAAACGATAATACAGGTTAGTTTAATTTTTTTTTTTTTAATTGAAACCCGAAATAAAAGATTTTTTCATTACAAATTTTTAATAGATAGGTCAATAGATTTTTAATAGATTCGATATCACATTTTTATTTTCAATAGATATTAACCTTTAGTGACGCGCGCGGTATCAGACCATATAGTTGCGCGCGTGGGGTAATTATTTTCCGTTAATATAGAAACACTTTTTTCTTTACATTATTCAGTTATTATTGACTTTTTATTGCAGATTTTAAATTACAATTTATAAAATAACTTTCTTATTAAATTAATTAAGTATATATTAATTAATTTACATGCGTGTTTTACAAATTTTAATAAAAAAAAAAAAATTTAATAATCTTTGTTTACAAATACATAATTTTTATTTCCTTAAAATTTAAAATTATTAAAACTATGAAGCCTCAAAGCAGTCAGGGTAAGTCTCTATTATATGGTCTCTGCAAATGAGCCTTGCGCAATTAGTACATACTTTTGTAGCCTTACGATCTTTTGAGCGGTCACAAAAAGTACATCTTCCAGAAGCTCGTACACGTTGTATTTCCCCCACGTTAGTTCTTGTTATGTTGCAGTATTCATTTAGTCTTAATTTTATTTGTTTTGGCAAACAATCCATTGTCAAACGGTATTCCATTTGTTCTTGCATTAGTTGACGAGCTAATGTCTTCAAAAATACAAGTCTTGTTTTTCTTATTGAAGTATTTTCTTGGAAAATAATTTGTGCGTTTAGTCCACCGATGTTTAGCATTGAATAAAAAACTACTAATGGCCAACGCATACACTGCCGTGCAACAGTGTAATTCTCGGTTTTCTTATCCATTGTATCCACAGAGCCTTTCGTTGCATTATACATCGTTATCATGTTTGGTTTTTTTGCCGCTCCTGTACTACTGTCGATTGAATTATCATTGTGCATTGTGGATAATAGTAATACTATTTTGTTATTTTTAGGTTTGTATGAAACTAGAACTTTTTTTCCACTAAATCCAAAATAAGAACTAAATACAGGGCGATTTTTCGTGATTTTAAATTCCTGTGGTATTTGAGTTTTATTTTTCCTAAGGGTACCAAGTAAGGTGAGTTTTTGATTCAGTAATTCATCTGCGAGCGGAACACTAGTAAACCAGTTATCGATTGTCACGTTTCTTCCTGTATTCCTAATAGGTTGTATCAAACGATGAACAACATTTTTCGGACTGTTATCAATACTAAATGGACCATCAGGTTGTTTTCCGGCATAAATTTCCATATTACTGGTGAAATATGAAATGTTATCTACCATAGCAAAAATTTTTATACCATATTTAGCAGGTTTGGACGGAATGTACTGCCTAAAAGAACATCGACCACGAAAGGCTTGGAGTTTTTCGTCTATAGTGACAAACTCGGATAAACTATATGACTGTTTACACTGTAGTATAAAACTTTCAAATAACCATCGCACATGGGTTATTTTATCAAACTTTTTTCTTTCTTCACGTCCTCTTATGTCATCAAAACGTATATATCGCAATAAAAATTCAAATTGTTTTTCTGACATAACACATGATACAATATCTACACCTACTCCATCTAATTTCCACAAATCCCGAGCATTTCTATGACCACATTTTATTGCACCTAATAACAGAAATATGATAAAAAAATAAATAAACAACTACCTATATATTATATATTATGTATATAATATAACATAACAAAATACAACGATAAGAACGACGACGACTGACAAAAATAATTACACAATAAAATTCTATATAATAATAATATAATATTATATAGGTATAAAAAAATGAAAAATACGAAAATGAATTTTACTCAAAACTTATATATTGGTTTTTACGGAACTTTTCTTAGCAGGGCAGTATCATATAATAATTTATTACAAGATGTGTAACGTATACAAATTTATAATTATTATAACTATAAAACTATAATATAAATTATTATTATTTACCAATCATGTACAAGCAACCAAGTAAACCTTTTATTTCCCGTGTTGTTGTATGAGCTGCATCTCTTTCTCTGGTAAAATTTGACTTAATTTTATCGATATATATATTTGTACAGAACACTATATGTTCAATCATAGGACCCGTAAAAAAAATATACCACGCGTCAATTTCAGTTTTTGCATTTTTTGCCAAATTAGTCACACCTGGTTTTTCAGTTATCTTATTGTAACTTTGATTTTTTGTTCTCAGATTTGGCTTACGACGATTCCATTTTGTCCCATCTTTTCCATAAAAACACTCTACACGCATACTTAGTGGAATTTCATCGTCAGATTCATGATAAGATTCGCAATCTGCTGATAGTGTTTGTTGAATATCATTGTGAATCTCATCATCGGTCGATTCTCCTGATTGTTCGGTGTTCGAAGTTTCTAATACATCAAAATGTTCATCGGGTGAACATTCGTCAGTGGAAGATGTACCACCCCACAATTCCTCGTCACTTATGTCATCCAATAGGCATGCAATACGACGGCGTTCTAATTCGTCCATACTTACAAAAAACGACTATAATTTAATAAAAATAAGCGCGCGCGGGGTAAATTTTTACCGAACTACAAACACAACCAATTTCGTCAACGATTACTCACGTACTGATTGTAATTAAATCCAGATTGTTACGTTTTTATGATTCTATGATAGTGACTATAAGTTAGCATGACCCGCATGAGTGTGGAAAAACCAACGAATATTTGATAGCATTTTAAAAATAGACTGGGGTAAATAATTACCCCGCGCGCGTCACTAAAGGTTAAT